GACCCACCGCAGACCAGCCCCGGCCCTCCGCTGCCTGCGTCCCCGGCTGAGCGCCTGGGATCGCGCCCCGGGCCGGCAGAAAGGCCGTATTACTACAAGTTCCAGCCAGCCAGCCAGCCAGCCAGATCTACCTTCCCGCGGGACTTTGCAGTGGGCAGGCTAGAAGCAAGAGAAAGGCATTCCTGGAGACCCCCACCCTCGGCGGAGAGCCAGGACAAACGTCCCTTCCAACAGCTCCAAACAAGAACTTAAAGACTCACAACCCCAGCAGACTCCTTTTAGCTGCATCCCGCACCCCAGCTGTGTCCACGCATCTATGCGCCCGAATTATGCAGCACTGGGTGTCCGTCCAGCTCCCAGCTGGAGGTGCAGCTTGCACAGGACAGGAGTGGTCCCAGCCTGCGGGAGTCAGTCGCTGGGACCACCTACGCCTTGGCAGGGGCACTCCAAAGTCCTTGGGGGCGGTGGGACCGGCCACGAGGGGCAAACCGCACAAGGGCCCCAGTGACCTGCCAGCAGATTCACAGCCGCTGCCCACAAGCGTGGGAAAGGAGACCGGGCCCGGGGCCATTTCCAAAGGACAGGCCGGTGGAAGCTCTGGGGAATGAGGTCCAGGCTCACGCTCTGCAGGCCTCTGCAGGCGGGGAGCGGAGGAAGAAGATTCCTGACCTAGGGCCCAAAGATCCCACTGCTTGGTCTTCCTCCTTCACTCTCCTTCTTCTTGGGCCTTGGGCTGGGTGCTCTCCCGGGGAGGAGGCCCTCAGAGGGGTCCGCCGCCCTTGTGTGACATTCCAGGACTCGCTCAGCGGGTAGAGGCGGAGTTGGCAGCCAGTACAAACCCACCCAGACACTTGGGAAAGCCCTAAAATGCCCCTAGCGTGGATGTGTAATTGTACACTGTGAAGTCTGTTCTGCGCGGAGGGAAAAGCTTTATGCACAGAAAAGTTCTTTGTAGGGGCGCCTGGGTGGCTCAGTCGTTAAGCGTGTGCCTTCGGCTCAGGTCATGATCCCGGGGTCCTCGGATTGAGCCCCGCAGGGAGCCCTGCATCGGGGTCCCCACTCAGCAGGGAGCCTGCTTCTCCCTCTCCCTCTGCCTGCCTCTCGCCCTGCTTGTGCTCTCTCTCTCTGTCAAATAAATAAATAAAATCTTAAAAAAAAAAAAATGGTTTCTCCTTTTCTCTTTCTCTTCCTGCTTTTACCTTTCTAGACTCACCTTGCCCCACCCTACAGGTGTGATCCAACTTAAAATAATCATAACAATAGAGCTACAGCACGCAAAGCCCTGGGGTCCGTCATTTCTCTCTTCTCTCTCTGGTTCCTCCACCTTCTCCATTCTTCTTGGTCCCTTCACTGGAACTGGGTCTTGGGAAAGGGGTGGCAAGTGTAGCCCCCCTGCTCTTCTCAGTGGGTTTATGTTCCTCTTCTGTGAGTTCCCATCTCAATGCAGGTGGTATCCGAAGCCAGAGCTTCAGCTACTTTTCTTTCTTTCATAGGAAAATCTCATATCTCAATTTGCAACTTGGATGTCCTGCTTATGTTCCTAACCTTGCTCACACGCTCTAGGAGAAAGAACAGCTCTGCCATCAGAAAGGACTGGTCTGCAGTGTAACCCACCCACCCAGGATGCTCTTATGGACTCTGGACCAGGATACGTAGACAGTTCTTGGCTGTTCCCTCTGGCTGCCATTCAGTTGGTGTCCAGATGCCCCTGCATAAGCCTCAGGATGTCCCCTGCCCTTTGACCCCTCTTTCTTCCTGCTTTTTCACCCCTCTACCCTATGGCTTCTACTATCCCATGGGAAACTCTCATTTGTCAGTGAGAAACACCTGCAAGGCAAACAACCTTTCTTTAGTAGCAGCAGGGCATATCCTGAGTGCGGTCACATGCTCGTTACAATACTTCCCCCAAGGAGAAAGAGAAGGAAGGGCACTGAAGTCCTCATTCTGCCCCCCTGGTGACAGATGAGGTGCAAAGTGATGGAAGAGAGCCCCACCCTGCCCCCTGCCTGTCACTGGGGGTGCCGTCCCCCCCATTGTTGTCCATGGCTCCATCAGCACCCGACACAGGTGGCTCGGCGTGTCTGTGTCTTCTCTGATGGCCACATGGTGCTCTCATCTCTTCTGTCCCCTTCCCCTGGCCACCATCTCCCCATCTGATTCACTTGGTCGTAGGAGGCCTGGCCTCAATTTCCTCCGAGGGCTCCTCTTTGGCTAGGGGTCCTGCACACAAGGGGCATTCTTCCCAAATGCCACGGTCCCTGGCATTCTCCTAAAACCCCCTAGAGGATTGCTCTTGTTCCGAAAAGAAACCACCCACAACCTGTTTACAGGTCATTCCAGTTCCATGACCTTATTTCCCACTGTTCTGCTCCACCAAGCTTCCAGACCAGCAAAAGACACACCTCCATTGTCTGTGTACAACCTGCCCTTCCCCCCTCCAGACAGGTGGACGATCATCCTCCAACTTGGGCCCAGGACATTTTCAAATCCCAGATCTTCAGCAAAGGGCTAAAATGTGGGGTCGGTGACCAGCTCTGAGCCTCTTGGCATAGAGTCTATCTGTTTGCTTTAGTTCTGAATTCGTTTTCAAGATGAAAAAATTGAGATCTCTCATACTAAACATCAAGATGTCTGGCTTCTCTTATAAAACTCAACAGGTCTAGAAACTTTATGCTCACTTTTGGCAAAGCAACCAATGGTAGGGGCTGCATTTTCCACAAAAAGACACACTAGAGAGTTTACCACATGCCCTCCCACTCCACATTCTCCCCGGCAAGGACAATGAGCAGGACCCACTCACTCAGTATCCTGCCTGTCTATAGGTATTGAGTTGGTCACTTCTGTTCTAGGCCTTTCCCTTCCAGGACAAAGCCCCTTGTCTGGCTGTTCCTTCACTTTGCATGCCTGGGAACTCATTTCTGCCCGTGTTTTGTCCTGGCTCATTTGCTGTGTTGCAAGTGCTCTTTGGCTGTGTCAGAAGTGGATGCTTTGTTTATCCATTTAGAGCAAGGGTTCTTAATTTTTCAAGAATCTTCATGGGAATCTGAGAAAAGCTATGGCTTTCCTCCCATTCCTCCAAAGGCACAGATGTGCAACATTTTGCCTATAGTTCAGGAGACCCCAGGGATGCTGGGCGATTCGAGGCCGCCATGTTAGGAACTTCATGGCAAGGACCATCTTTTCTGTGAAACAAACTCAACTCTGTAGGACCGATTCTATGGGTCTTTACTGTGTACTTTGCTCAACAAATGCCACCAAGTGTTGCCCAACTGTTGGACAGCAAGACTGTCCATGAAAATAGTTGTTCAAGCTGCCTCTACCCAGGTTCCTGGGAGCACAGCTCTAATTCTTGGCACCCTTGAGTCACCCAAGGAAGATGACTGATGTACCAGCTCCAGACCCCCCAAGTCAGGGATCACAGCTGCCCTTTCATTTTGACAAATAACCACAGCCTTCACCTTGCTATGAAAAGAGCACAAATCCAATTAAGAAAGCTTTTCCCAAAGAAATAACATCGTTGTTCCCTCCCCCCCACCCCCTTTTTGTCCCAGAATAATGCTATGCTGATAGGAACATGATAAATTAATTATACTCTGGAATGTTATTCATTGCTAGGAAAGCACACTCAATCGACACATACAGTGTTTGACATTTGAATACAAATATCGCCCTTATGTTTTTGTTTTATTTATTTTTTCGAAACCCAACAGATTAAATTTATGCAGGATTATATGTATAATCCTTTTAAAGGCTGTAGATTTAAAAGCTCAAAGGTAACAATGTGCTGGGTGTTGTAGTCAGCCAAAGAGCAAGGTAACGCAGGAATGAGATTAGCAAGTCAGCCAAAGAGCAAGGTAATGCAGGAATGAGATTAGCATCTCTTCAGTTCCTTGTATGTCTGATATTATTTTGGTGTTCCTCCTCTTCCTGATAACACAGAAGCACTGTTGTGGCCCAAGTCCCTGAAATGGAAGGACATTGGCCAGCCTGAATTGAAAACCAGTGCAGGCAACCTTTCTGGGAATGTGTGCAAAGGTCACTTTTTAGAAATGGGACTGTCCAAAGCCGGTGTCATGATCTCCGCGCTATTTCAACCAGGGCCCTTCTGCCTGGCAGTCTGGATTAATGTGGATTGCTGCAGGTCCTCCACAGGGGTTGAAGGAAGAAATCAGAGGTGGTGTCTGGCATGACTTGGAGGAGGATCGGAGGAACTATATTCAGAGGAAATCTTCAGAAGAGCAAATTTAAGTTTGAAACCTATAAACAGTGAAAAGATTTTGATGACACCCTTGATCTTTGAGTCCTTATTCTAAGTAATATCAAGTCTGAACCCAGACCCCATCCCTTAAAATTTTTCTCAATAAATAAATCTCCTGATGACCGGTCACCTTAATTCAGTATTTACCAAGTTTCTAGATGGGAGGGGTGGAGAGCACTCAATCAAATGTATGTCCAAATTTACCAACCTTGCAGAGTAGAGCTGAGATGCCACCCCCTCTCCTGCCAGTCTTACCCCGCCCTCAACACACACAAAGTCTTTCTGGCAGAAGTGGTCTCTCCCTCCTGGAGAGATGCTGTGCAAACATTGCCCTTACGTTTGTTGTTGCTCTTGTTGTTTTTAAAACCAATCGGTTCCAACAGCATGAGGTGTCACCTTTGACCGTGGCACTCTGTCCCCCAAAACTCTCAGGACTAGTCTTCTTTTTTCATTTCTGAAGGCCCCACCCAAGGCCAGCATGTATCTACTTTCGCCAAGAATCTAACAAGAGTTCCAGGCTGGTCTCCTAGCCTAGTCTGGCCCTCTTCCTCTCTCCTTGAAAGGTCCATTTTACCATGCTTCATTTTCAGCCTCACCTGTCAGTAACTGAAGATCACATCGGCCTTCCTTGTTAGCTGTCAGCTGTAACCCCCAAAGGACAACCTCTACCAACTCATTTGCCTTTAGTCCTCTACTGGGACCAGCGAGGAATGTAGCAAGTAGATAGGGATTCACAGATATTTCTTGAGCAGATAACTGGTTACTTGTCCATGATTTGGGGGACACCCCTTTCTGGACCAGTCAGAGACCAGACTGTATCTCCTGTGAACTTTGCCAAGTCAAGTTGAATTTAATGGAATGTCAGAGTGTAAAAGTTTGGACTAGAAAAGTTAAGTAGGAGGAGTAAGTGTGAGTGACAGTATCTAAATGAAAATCCATGTTGTGACAGTAGATCAGACCTTTTCTCCTCTGATGTTGCTCGTTTGGAAATCACAAAATGCCCAAGGTATCATAAGCATTGAATATTGGACAAGAGAATTGTCTATAACAAATGTCATGATTTTTCAGTGT